CTGCAAGAGATCGCTGCTGCAATCCAAGCCTCCCCCGGCGATGTGCCGACCGAAGCAGTTGACATTTACCTCAAGATGAAGCGAGATAGCACCCTCGCCAACATTCTGGATCCAGACTACCAGATGAAGCAGTTCAGTGTGGCAGCTGAAGATATCCTACAAAACTACTTGGAACCAAAGACGTGTGAGTACATTTGGTATGCCGAACCCATGCGCCTACGCTAACTTGCTGTACGCGTCTTAGACAACTGCATGCCGGCACGGGCGTTCCTACACCAGATACTAGCGAAGCTTATCCTTGAGATGATTGTCGTGAGCTGTTCCAAGCCAGAGTGGATCAATGGATGGATCGTCTATCTCTTGGAAGAGGGCGAGCCGGAACTCCTGAATGCTATTGACGCAGGCGTCGAGGGTTCTTCAGAACAATTGCAAAGTGTAAAGAAGGCTGCACAAAAGGAATTTGACGAAACAGAAACAGTGGCCACGGCTGAGAAGAGGGAACACAAGCGCGTCATGAGCAAAGCCCAGGAAGCCATGGACGATGCAATGCGAGAGGCTCAGCTTTTGAGTCAGATGATAGCCGAAGAAGATGCAAAGCGGCTCAAGCAGCAGCAACGGCAAAGTGCATCCACGTCAACCCTGAACGACGACCAATCCGAGAGTACCACTCAAGGAATAGTCACCCCGTCGTCTTCGGAGAGCGACGCGCATGGTGATGCCGACCATACAGACTTGGGCATCTCTGGGCTTTCTGGTCGATCCTTCTCAGAAGCCACACCAGCATCTCCACCAAGGGGCCCCGAAGAACCACCAGCCCAAGAAGTGAAGAAAGCATTCACAAGCTTCGACCAGCTTGTACTACCCCAGCCGCCTACCGCACTTATGGACAACCCGCCTCCTGCGCCGCCACCACTAACACTACACAACAGTACCATGTCGATCTTTGACGATAGCATGCCTGGAGAGAAGGGCACAATCAAGGCCAAACCGACGGCAGAATATCTGATTCAGATCGAACCAAAGTCAAATCATCACACCGGTTGGATGACGGCACGCAAGTATGCCGAGTTTGAAACATTACATGAGGTCATACGTCGGATAGCAGCTATCACCGGGACTTCAGGCTTCAACGAAGCACACGCTACATTGCCGCCATGGAAAGGTCACACCAAGGCGTCATTGCGTGGGGAGTTGGAGCGCTATCTCAACGATGCCGTGAAATACCAACCACTTGCTGAAAGTGAAGGTATGAAGCGCTTCTTGGACAAAGAATTGGGCTCCGGAAAGACGCCTGGTGGTGGCTTTCCAGGAATCGGTTGGGCGGGTCAGACCTTCGACACAGTTGGTAAGGGGATGATGGGCGTACTTTCAAAGGCCCCCAAAGAAGTTGCTGGTGGTGGCAAGGCCCTTTTTGGTGGTGTTACTGGAGTACTAGGTAGCGTAGCAGCACCGCTTTCAGGAAAGAAGAACCGCGAGTCGGTCAGCAACATCGCCAATGCGAACGCAACCGGAAGTCCCCTTAGTCGTACATCGTCCAACACGGCGCCAATCCAAACACGACAAAGCAGAGCAGAGTCGACCGTTTCCGAACTTCCTACGCATATTCGTTCAGAGAGCACCTTGTCCCTGGTAACCAAACGTACATCCATAGATTCTGTACGCGATCCTCATTCGCCCGTCATCGATCAGCAACCAGGCCGTGAGGCGCCCATGGAACGTCGACCATCTTATAATCCTGACGGCGACGGCAAACGTTCCGGGAGATCCTCCAGGTATGGCTCCCGGAGCAATAGTCGCGCACCAAGCATGCGTGAGAAAATCGAAGATCTCAGTCCCATGATGGGAGGTGATCAACTCATCAACTTGCCACCAATGCCTAGCGAAATCCCCGACGATTATAGCACGATGCGCAATCAATCAGAGCCAGCACACGCCCATAAGCCTTCGCAGTCTTCGAGGCTATCAACAGACTCTGTGCCCTCACTACCTCGTCGGCCCTCAGCTCCATCGTTGACCTCTTCTCCGGCCAAATCACCACTCAAGTCCCGTCCAGCAACCATGCACACGTCATTGTCCGAGCCCGAGACCACAGTCCTCATCGAACTATTTTTCGCAGTCATAAATGAACTCTACACTCTCTCCTCCGCCTGGACACTCCGCCGCACGCTCCTCAACGCCGCAAAATCATTTCTCCTACGACCCGGAAACCCACAGCTCTCCTCCATCACATCGCTCCTGCAGACCACCGTTCTCGACGACAACGCCTCTGACGCTGGTCTAGCATACCATATTAGAAAGATCCGGGAGAACGGGTTGCCAACAGAAGAGGAGCTGAAAACATGGCCCAAGGAGATGAGCGAAGAAGAGAAGGAGAAATTGAGGATTAAAGCAAAGAAGTTGTTGATGGAGAGAGGTATGCCTCAAGCGCTAACGAGTGTTATGGGACAGGCTGCTAGTGGAGAGGCATTGGGTAAGGTGTTTGATTGTTTGCAGGAACCTAGGGTTGCGAGGGGTGTTATGTTTGGTTTAGTGTTACAAGGATTGAGGGCTGTAACGCAGTAGTAACGACTTAGAAGGTGTTCCAGGCGTTAGTAGAAGTGGGTTTCGACCTTGATGTTGTTTGATAACTGCCAGGCGTCTGGTCATCGAAATCTTACGAAGACATTTGTTTGTTATTGCTTGCACCTGCCTTCAAACACACTATGTGGTTGTCATTTGGGAAGCTAACGAGAGCCTAGCGAACGCCTTAGACAAAGGATACTGTCCATGTTGCCTACTCGCCAAAGCTTGCCCCAGTGACCGGTCTGTGGCCTAACATGGTTGGCAAGCGAGCGGCCCACGCAAGCGAGCGGCCCACCCTACTAACTTTCTGCGCCTTGTGAACTCCTCCCTATTATAGCTCCTCCAATTCAACCCCTACTGACCTCTTCTAAGGCTAGTATACACCTTGCAATCTTAGCTATTAATAGAAGCTAAATTTAGTCTGTAAGAGATGCTGCGCAGACATTTAAAGTCCCCTGAACAACGCTCTGACGCCGACGCGCTAGAAAGCCTGCCCGACGCAATTGCCTACCTAACTCAAGGAAGCTCACCCAGTTAGAAGAGGAGGTGATTATTAGCTATATAGTTGATCTAGATTAACGTGGATTTTCGCCTACGTACGCAGCCATACGTAATATGGCTGATAAGCTGCTAGCTGCGCGCGACGCAGGCCAGGTTGGCCAGAAGTAGCTAGCTAACTTCGTTAAACGTACAGACAGTCTTACGACGCGTTTTAATCGAGCGTACGATAGGCAGCGAGCTCTGTGTAAGGATCTAGTCCTAATTAGCTCCTAGTTTAAGCTTATAGAGGAGACAAAGGCTAAGTACGGCATCTGCGACAAGGACGTCTATAACTTTAACAAAGCTGGCTTTATGATGGGCAAGATCACGACTTAGCTTGTCGTAACAGGATTAGAGAGGAGAGGCAAGCTAAAGAGTATCTAGCTAGGCAATCGCGAGTGGGTGACAGCGATCGCTGCAATTAACGCTGCTGGCTGGTTAGTCCCGCCGTTCCTCATCTTCGCTGGCCAGTATCACTTGTCTGCCTGGTACGAGGAGAAGGATATCCCACGCGACTGGGCGATCGCAGTTAGTGACAACAGCTGGACGAATAATGAGCTAGGAGTTGAGTAGCTAAAGCACTTTAACGCTTACACGAAGACTCGCGTTATTAGTGCGCGTCGCCTGCTCGTCCTTGACGACTATAAGAGCCACCACTCTCTTGCGTTTTAAGAGCTCTGCAAGGAGAACAACATCTATACGCTCTGTATGCCACCTCACTCATCTCACCTGCTGCAACCTCTTAACGTTGGCTGCTTCTCGCCATTGAAGCGCGCGTACAGTCGTGAAGTAGAGAGCCTGATCCGCCACTATATCAACTACATCACTAAGCTTGAGTTTCTGCCAGCGTTTAAGGCAGCGTTTGATCGAGCTTTCACGCCATCTAATATCTGCTCAGCTTTTCGAGGCGCAGGCCTTGTTCCTCTCCAGCCAGACGCTGTCCTATTAAAGCTAGACGTGCAGCTGCGTACGCCTACTCCAGCTGCTCTCGCAGAGGCTCCCTGGGAGGCTCGTACGCCGAGTAACGTACGTGAGCTTGAAGCTTAATTAACTTTAATACGTAATCGCGTGCGACAGCATAAGAGCTTATTACTAGCTTTAATTATTAAGGCAATTAACCAGCTTAAGAAAGGGGCTGAGGTTATAATGCTCTCTGCTAAGCTGATGCGCGATCGGATTACTAGTCTTAAGCGAGCTAATAAGGCAGCGTCAGCGCGTAAACAACGCAAGAAAAAGCGTATACAAAAGCGAGGGACCTTAACAAAGGGAGAGGGAGAGGATATACTCGCTTAACGTGAGGTTGAGCAGCAGATTTCTCGTAAAGAGCGTTAAGGAGGTGCGCGATTAGGACTTAGCCGCTAGGCTTTAGCGCGCTGCACGAGGTGCAGGGAGACTGGCCACAACTTACGTACATGCAAGAAGGATATTTAAGATACTGCTTAATCTACTATATAAATTTGTATATATTATCTCTTAACGTGGCTGTAGTGTGCGCTTAAACAGGCGCAGAAAGTTAGTAGGGTGGGCCGCTCGCTTGCGTGGGCCGCTCGCTTGCCAACCATGTTACACATGGTGTAACATTGTGAAGTTTGGCAGACGGCCCACTGAGATCTATTTCGGTAACTATTCAGGCCAGAAGCTGACAAAGTGATGCTCGAGCGGAACTGACGTGGAGGGAACACGAGGGCAGGTGCGGCTGAGGCATTCGTTCGTAGATGTGGCACAGCCCCACTACCTCGAGGCTGACAACCACCATAACTGCAGACTTCGTAAATTATGAGACAAGACTTTGAGACTTACTTTTCAATGCCAACTATTGACTCTGGCTTTGCGCAACCAAGTATCCCAATCTACCACCAACCTGAATAGCTTTGATAGTAACCATCATTGCTAACACCATGTCGCCAACTCTCCACCTCTACCACACACCAGGGTCTTGTTCGCTAGCCACTCATATCGCACTCCAAGCCTCCGGTCTTCCCTTCTCCACCACAAATCTCAACGCTGCTCGTGGTTTCCCCGCTTCCCATCTTCATCTAAACCCTAAAGGCCGCGTTCCAATCCTCGAGGTAGATGGCGAGCTAATCACCGAAACACCCGCCATCCTCTCCGTAATCGCTGCGCTAGTTCCAGAGAAAGGATTACTGGGAAAAGGTCTGATTGCGCAAGCGAGAGCACAAGAGTGGATAATATGGCTTTGCGGGACGTTGCATGGGCAAGCATTTGGATGCGTGTTTAGGCCGGGTCGGTTTGTCGGGGACGAAGCAATGTTTGATGCTATACGAGCAAAAGGCCGTGAACATGTTCGAGAGTGTTTCAAATATATCGAGAAGAATCTAGAAGGCAAGACTTGGGTGGTTGGTGATAGTTTTACTGTCGTGGACGCGTATCTCGTCGTCTTCTACCGTTGGGGCAATATGCTGAAGATGGGTATGAGGGAGACATATCCGAGCTATACGAGGGCAGTCGATGGCGTTGTCGCGCAGGATGATGTGAAACGAACAATTGAGAGCGAGGCCATTAGCGTACTGAATGAGTAGTGTTTGTGAACAGTCAGTTTCAGTACCATCAATATCGGTAACCCTTAGTATGAGTGTGTGAACGTTACCCCCATCTCTAAGCAACACATGTGCATTTCTATGACGTTTGTCTTTGATTTTGTGATCTTTTGTACTACCTACCATCATTCGTACTGTATGCAGCTTGAAATTTACCTCCTCTTAAAGCGGAATAAACAAGCATGCTAATGCTTTCTGTTCCATATCTTAGCTAGACTAATGAGCTTTCAGTGGTCATAGTCTTCTGTACCATCGTCATCGGTCCGCTCATTCTCCTCCTTCTCATTCTCATCTATTAAAGAGGAAGATCATGTGACCCCTTTAGATCAGCATATATAGTCTGAGTATCATCTCATATCGAATCAATTATCCTTCTACTCGAAATCTTTTTCCCCTTTTAACACCATCTTCCTCCTCCTCCTCATCAGTGGTACCTTGCTCTTCGTTGAAGTCAGCGTACATGTTGTGTACGATATGATTGAATGTATCAGTGTTGCGCAAACCGAGCCGAGGATCAACTTCATGAGATTCATGATAATGACGAGGTAGTATCCAGCCGCACGACTGCGGAGTAGTTAGCGACAACTGTTCCTATTTGTGGTGTGTACTTAGTGACTACAAACCGCATTATATGTCTTCCGCATGCTGTAAACCCACAATGCCCGAGGCAAGTCGAAGAATTCAGTAATATCTCGGTCCACCAGACCTCGACGAGGAGGTGGACGGTTGTATTTCTCCTAACGTCCCCTGTAGGTCCATGATACGGTGACGCAAGCACCGTGTTGCTTAAGATGCTGCACGACGCTAGCAAGAGCCTCAATGACCTCCGCTAGCACCTCCATACGAATGCTTCGTTGGTAGAGAATGATGTGTAGCTTGAAATCCTGCTTCTTCCTGATGTCGAGCAATGCGCCGAACTCCATCTCAAGCGCGGCTTTGCGGACATGACCTATCTCGGAAGCGGTATGCTGACAAGTGATAGCCGGTAAACGACATGGTGGCGGTGCACGATATCGGTCCATCTTACAGTGGACAGTCAACGTCCTAATTAGGTCTATCGTTAGCAGGCCAAGATCGAAACAGTCTTTGTTCAAGACAGATCGAATGGACTCTGCTCCGCACTGCAGGAGACCAGCAAGGTTAACAGTGTGATAGAAGGACATCCCAATCTCTTTGGCCATCTCGAGACCGGCGTAGGCCGGGGAAATAAAATGCGGAAGAGCGGACTTGTCGCATAGTTCAGTGATGTTATGGCTGTTGCCCCGGTAGAGATTTTGAGCCAGGTCCAGCAAAAGACCGTGGATCTGAATAACATTGGTGGCGCCGGGATAACACTGAAAATCATGATGCTGTCGCAAGCGCCGCGTACCAAAATCATGAAGTGACGTTCTCTTAGGGTCGAAGTACCACAAATAGCCGTAGACCATGTCGCGAACTTCACGTGGTAGGCGAGAATGCATCTGAGCAGTGAAAGCACGATTCCATGCCCTACTGTACGGAATAACAGTACGGTGTAGTACCAAGTCGTTCAACCAATCGTTGTATTGGCCATGGAGCATCAGGCGTTTTGTGAGAAGGCATCGCTTCTTTAGCTCTAACTGCTCTACTTCCTTGTCGATATTCCTCGCACTGTTGCCGGTTAGTCAAGACTGGATCGAGTGTGGTGCCTACATTAGGGAAAAGGCTTACTCGCTCGTGAATCGACTACCTCTACGTTTGGCACTGTAAGATGTTAGTTGAACGAGGTCCAATGTAGCCGTGCACAACAGGGCGGGACACATGCCGTAAAAGTCTATCTCGAGCCTGACGAAGCTGCTCCTCATTAGAGGTCACTGTGGATTCTGGCCCGCTTGCAGAGGTCATTGTTGGAGTATAAGAGTGATGGATTGATTCTACGGAGGATTCTGACTGTATAGACAGTACGCTAGTGGGTATGGAAGGTACCAATAACAGCACATGAGATGGCTCTTTCTTCGGTCATCTCGCACGACGATGCAATTCTTACGGGCAGACGCGGAGGTAGAGGCATATGAGAAGTTGTGCGCTCCGCCGCATGCTCTCACAATCTATTGTCGAAGAACGCGGTTGCTGTCCCAAAGCGAATAAACCATATTCGGGCCTCAACTTTCACCGGTGACACGTGGATGATGCATCCTCATGTCTATATTGACCCCTCTACAGTCCTCATCATGTCTCGTGAAAGAATTACGAAAGGCGTTAGACAGCTGCAGAAATCGGAGTGATACAAGGCTTTTAAGTTTACCGGGCTTCAAACACAAGATGAACATGATGCGCACGATTTACGCCGTAAGGCTGATCTCCTTGTCAGCCTAAACCTCGGCAATGGTCCCAGCTCCCTCATCGAGCTAGACTGGAAATCACAATCATGACGCGTGCAGCTGATCAACGCGTCCTCAACACCAGATACTGGTTTACTTTGTATCTGGTTCGTGCATGTCGTGGAGCACAGAAACGCCACATTTTCAGGCATCACTTTCTATCGTAATCGCGAACACGTCCTAGCAGATCAGCCCGGTCGCTTCAAAACCAAAAGTTTGAATATGACGCCTTCAAGTGGCCGTAAAGTTTGGCGTTTCATTATCTTATCATGCTGAGCCCTCTATGCCGTAAAGACACCGATGTCCTTCGGTGTATCTCGCAGTCGCATTCTTCGAATGTAAGTGTTCAGCACGTTCCACCTGAACCCCACATCGTTTTCGCTCTGGTCTATCTCGAAAACTCGTCGCAGCTGTGTTTTTCAAACACGGAATAGACCAGTCATGGATCTAGCTACCAACGTACTCAAATTTCTCCTCGGCATCTTCGCTGGCCTGATCGGAATCTATCTTGGCTTCGTATCGCTTCTGACTATCCCAACACTACAAGACCACGTCATCTTCTTGCATCGAGTAATCCGAACTTGGGGTCAGGACATAAACATACCCGAGCAATGGGGCTTTCTTCGCAATCAAGTTACGCCATTTCACCTCGAAACCCCAGATGGCGAGACTCTACACGCGTGGCACGTCCTGCCACTGGAAACATACCGCCAACACCAAGCCCAGCTTCGTGGAGAGCCAGTTGGACTTTGCGCAAATGTCGAAGAACGACTTTCTTTTCAGCTTCTTAAGGACTCCACTGCACAACTAGTCATTTATCTCCACAGTGCGGCAGGCACACTGGGATCTGGGTGGCGGCCACAAAGTTACAGAGCCATGAGCGCGACGTCAACCAACGTACATGTCCTTGCCATTGACTACCGCGGGTTTGGCACCAGTACGGGATGGCCTTCGGAAGCCGGCCTCCTTACTGATGCCCTTACATTGGTCAAATTCGCGACCGACACTGCAGGCATACCACCAGAGAGGATCGTAGTATTTGCTCAGTCCATGGGTACTGCGGTAGCAATATCGCTCACACATCACCTAGCCTCACAACCTATCCCTATTGTTCTGGCGGGAGTTGTACTGGTAGCGCCGTTCGCCGATGTAGAATCCCTGACCCGGACGTACAAAGTCGCTCGCACCCTTCCGCTCCTTTCTCCTCTCGCGGTCTTTCCGCCGCTCATGGCACTGCTCAATAGATTTATTCTTACCAAGTTCCCTTCCAAAGAGAAGCTCGCCGCACTCATTCATCGGTTAGACAGCATCAAGGTTAACGACAAACGACGGAGCTACAACATCACGTTGATACATGCCAAAGATGACTATGATATACCATGGAGTCATTCGGATATCTTGTTCTGGCACGCTGTCAATGCCGCCTCTGGGTCAACCTCGTCTATGACGTTTGAAGAGCTCGAACACATCAAGGCGAAAGAGAAGACAGCGTTGGGAGCTGGCGGCTGGGAAATGGAATGGAAAGGGAAGAAGGGGATCATTAGGGAGCAGATCGTCGAGCATGGTTCCCACGATCGTATCATGAGCTACCCCATCGTCAGCCTAGCTATCTCAAGGGCTCTTCATGAGTAGTGCAATATGCGGTGATTGCCAGGAACTCACGGCCTGACTGCAGCGATCAGCTCTCACCACGTCGGTCCGGTGGGATTCCGGCTATATAGTCGCATCACCGCACCAACTCAGTTTGACCGCCTCTGCATCATCCTGGTTCTTCCCACACAGAACACGTCGAGACTGAGGAACAATACGCCTTCTGCACTTCCTCCAACACAGAAGCGTTAGCGGAGGCGAGATAGACCAATACTTTTGCCGGCTGCTCGGTCGAACGCAACTCAGCGATGATATTTCGCCGACAGCCAACTCATAGATGCGATTGCGCAACCCGCGAAGTGATCAGAGGACAGGCGACTCAGTCTGGCGGTTGTGCATGGTTTTGCACACCGTCAGTAGAACATAAGAGCATAACGTGCCAACTCACACGTACTCTCATGAGCCAGTCATCGGCGTCGCTTCAAGCGTCGCCATACTGCAAGCCTGCTGTTAGATCTGTATGGTGGATGTAGATGAAAGCACGAACCCAAGAAGGACTAGGGTGTTTTTGGTTTTTGGGGTGTCTTACGTGCATTGAAACGGTGGGGCGGACCGTACCGTGTGAGAGGGGGTGGGGGTGGCACCTGATCTGAGTGTCCGGGCATATTCGCTCGTGAGCTGGAAGCGACCAAGAGAGTATAATCGGTGCAACAGCCTGCTTTCTATGCTTTGCCTAGGCATACTTAGAAACTATACCACTGGAAGCCGCAGGCGTCACCGGTTGTCCTGGTTGTCGACTGCTGCTCTAATACCAGCAACCTCCTCTCTCCCCCCTCTAGCGATAGTGTCACTGCTGCACTGATACGTTCAGTCTACATTGCATTTGCATGCATAATAGCGGTGTACCTTCAGCAGCATCCAAACTTTGTCGCCATTGCGAATGGGTGTCAACTGCGCGTGCAAAAACAATTATACTGCATAGCTTATGCTATAGCCTCAGGTGATCCTCATAACACTTACCTGTATAAATATGGCGAAGTAATGAGTGGCAAG